GTGTGTGTGTGTGTGTGTGTGTGTGTGTGTGTGTGTGTGTGTGTGTGATGGTCTGCAGGAGGCAGAGAGGGCGATCCAGTGTTTAAATGGGAAGCTAGCTTTGTCCAAGAAGCTGGTCGTGCGCTGGGCACACGCACAGGTGAGGGTAAGTGTCAAACTCAGTTCCCGTTTTATAAAACCGAAGTGTATACATCCTGATAGCTCAGTGGATTAAAGCACATCCCGTTTACGTCTGACACTGTGGTCGAGGCTGCAGTTTGACAAACTAAATATATACGCCTGTGCATTAGTAAAAGCTCATCTTCGACTTTCAGAGATTTAAAAACAGTCTAGGAACCCGTGTGCCTGTTGACACAGACAGAAACATGGCTGCAAAGAATTGAGATTCAACCAATAATCATGAACTTAAATGCTGAGTGTCAGTCTGAGTTGTTGTAAAACATTATAAGCATCTTCTAGTTTATAATTTAACGTTACTACTGCAGTAGTTAGATTATGGAGAGCAGATCCCAGCACAACCCATGCCTGTCTCTTAACAATAGACCGCCTACTGGCAATGGGTGAAGGGATATCCTGCATAGAGAGGAATCACGCCCTACACACACACACGCACACACACACACACACACAGTAGAGGGAGGTCAAGGTCAATGCTTGCCGCCTCTAAGACAACACGTAAAGGATAAATCCACCACTCTAACCAAAAATAGCTTTGGTTATTTATACCATTATAAACCTCAAATGTAAGCTCTATACATCTTTATATCCCCACATTATTACCAGTCTGATTGTCAAAGCAAATCTATTTTTACTACTTTACTCACAGTGGCTTCCCTCACACTCGCCAGTGGCCTCAGCTCATTTCTACTATGAGTGTATGAGATGTTGCAAACACATCAGCCAGGTATGAGCAAAGCTGCACCACAGGAATTTAATTCAAGCTTTCTGATCAGTGTCCCAGCTGACAAACGTGAATTGTAAAAATTAATAATTTCATCCCATGACGTGCTTCAACAGACTCGAGACAAACATGTCAATCAAAATTGTCCTCACATTGTCCGGCACACTGTATTTGTTCTGTTCGTCAGGATATAAAAACTGAATTTTACAGTGTAATCTTTATTAAAGAAGTAAGATTTGAGCATCTTTCCACCAATGGTGCCCATTCTCAGCTCCAGTCAAATGTGATTGCCGGCACAGAGTTGACGTGCTGGGATAAATGAGTCAGAGACAGTTGTTGTCTCATCTCCAGGCTTAACATCTTGACTTTATTACATCGTTTTCAAAAGAGAGGAAGTACACGTTTATGAAAGTGTTGCCCAAACTCTTCATAAACATTAATGCAGCCCAAATCTGTTTGTTTCTTTCAACAGTTAAACATTTGTGTCCTAATTCAGTACTGTATTTATTAATCCAGAGTTTAGCCACGGTGTGTGTTTATGCATCATCACTACCATTCCTGTGACTGCATCCAGAATGAACTGTAACACATTAAACACTTCATTTAATCCTCAATGAAGCAAAAGTGTGCTTATCATAGTGTGGGCTATTTAAAATCAGAAGTGCAACTAGAAACATCTTAACTACACATTCCTGTAACTTAAACTTTGACTTGTGTACAGAGTCAGTATGACGTGATTGGATATGTGCTGTAGATCTATATGCATTCCAGCTACACGCCTTAAGGAATAGGTGGAAGGGAAGGGTCCTGGCTGCTGGAATGGTCATTGTTTTAGACATATTCTTGGCTATACATGTTATTTACTTCTTGGGACAGAATGTAAGACCATGTTTGTGCATTTATGTAACTTGATTCAGTCCCAACTCGTATCTTAAGCATCATATTCCCGCCAATGGCTGCTGCTGCACCAAGCGCCGGGGTTTTTCTCACGCCCATCATGTGACCTGTTTCTTTTTCTTTGTTTTTTTGTCTCTTCTTCTTCGCAGGTTTCAAGAGTTCTGTGTTGGCTGGTGGAGATGTTTGGAAGGTGTTTTTTTTTTTTTTTGAAAGGAATGAGTGCAGACGTTGGTTTTTGCTCTCTTCTGCTGCTCCCTCTTTAGTCTCCTCATGCCTTTAGGGTGTGATTATGAGCTGGACGCACAGTCCCGCTTGGTTACTGTCTGTTTGAGCCGACCCAAACAAAATCAATACTTCAGTTTAATAATGTTGGTCTTTGTGGGAGGAAGCTGGAGTTGGCTCTCCAGACAACTGCTGTCAGTGTTTGTTTGGTCCGATGGTTTCTGAATGTCTGGTTCATACAGGATGTTTTTCTTCTTCTCTGTTTTCTTCTCTATCTCTACTTGTGGTCCTGCTCCATCTGAGCACTAAAATGTTTCTAAATGCAAGTGTGATTGTAGCCAAAATGTGCTAAGAACACGTTACTATCTGCTCCCTTTGACAGTATTGTCTTGACTTTGAAAAACACACATGATGCACTAAGCACATTTTTCAGGGGGCGGGGGGGTTAAGGTGAGAGTATCCAAGTTTCTCTGTCTCTTTGCACAGGGGTCTTTTTCTCGCCTCCACTCCTTTTTTACCCCTTTGCCTCTCTCCATCTGTCTGTCCATCCGTGTCTCCATCACTGTTTATGTGGGTCATATCTTTGTTTTTGGCCATGTGTCTCGTCTGCAGAGGTTTGAAGGTTTCCGTAATGACAAAACGATGCCTCCGAGCCTGGAACCGTCAAGCAGCGGGGCGGCCGAGGATGGAAACGTAACCTCCAACCACCTCAGGTTGGTAGCAAACACCCACACAGCAGCGCCATCAGTCCTTGCTGTTATTCTGGACATTTTTTATCCATTTTCAAGGGTTAAATCAAGTGTTTTCTTGTCCTTCTGCCCACGCAGAGCCAACAAAAACTAAGCTAGGAACAGTTTCCTTTTTGTTTTGGTGTTTCAGAGTGGATGGAGGTCTTGGGAAAAAAAATTTAAAAAAAATCGTTGGAAAATATTAGTTTGGATGCAGGTCGTCACAAAACATTACATGTTCAGATTTAGCCAGCTCAGTGTGGCGGTAGTTTCTGGTCACTTTAGGGGAGACCCGAACAAATCATTTAACTCAAGCCTGGTCCTGAAATCCTGATAGGACTGGGCTTGTTCTTTCATCGACAGTTCAAGTTAAATTCATATTAGTACAACTGGACTTAAAATTTGGTTCAAAAAAAAAAAAGTCAAAGTCCTGCTCAAGCAACTTCTAACATGTTCCATTATTGTGGCTACACTTGCAGCCTACGTTCACATATATATACAAATACGTCGGTCAAATGGAGCACTTCAGTCGGTGAAAGGCCTCTTGGTCTCACAGTATCAACATGTTCCCGAGACAATCCAGTGAGTGTAGCAAGTTTTCAGCCATCAGGACTCGGGGAAAGTCTCCACACTTCAGTTCTAGTGTCAACTTCAAAATAATCTCTGCACACAGCCGAAGAAGAGGAGATCTAAACACTTCTCACCCCTTTTAGACCTGTTGAGCTCATTCACTCAGTCACTCTTCGTCTCACCTGCACTGTAATATTTCTCGCTTGCTCCTTCAAATTCCGTTTCACCATTTAAATGCAAGTTTTCATCTGCTTTTCATGCAGCACAACTGGTAATCTCTTGCTTGTGCTCCTTTTTTCTTTTCTTCTCCCCCTCCCGCATCTGTCCCTGCCATTACTAAGAGTGCTAATATCTCCTCTTCTTTTCCCCTCAGCCAAGAGCCAAAATCTGTCCCATCACTCAGTTCGCCACTCAGCACCAGCACTGGTATTTCCCCCTCAGCCTCGCTGCTTACATCTCCTCTCTCTCACTCTTTTTTTCTTTTTTTTTTCTTCTCTATACCTCCTAGTACGAGTGCTAAAATCCGCGCCATCGAGGCCAAGCTCCAGATGATGGAGGAGAATCCAGAGGATGACTACTCGGGCCCGTCGGCCTACGTTTACAACAAACCGCCAGAGAGGAAACGCTGGGAGCCTTACTCTAAATCACACCACAACAACCAGAGCAGGCCCTTCCGCAAGTTTAGGAGATGACCCTTCATCCAACTCATTCTGGAGATCCCCCCCCCCCCCCCTACACACCTCAGCCCCCACCTACACAAGAAACAGACTTTACACAAGATGCTATAAAGACTATACACCTCTGGGAATAAAAGGTTTTGACAATACTTTGAGAACCCGGACTCTTTGGAAGTAATCACAGCAATCACGGACGAGTACCTAAAGTGGTTATTAGCTTTTTTTGGTTTATAGTTATCAGTTATTAATTAGTCTTAACATATGCCCCATACCTGACTGCTGTGCAGGTTGGATCCCTTACCAGTCTGCTTTCTCACTTTTGCTGAGATTCAATGCAGCGGAGTCATACAGCTGTGATTTACATGATGCACAGCTGCCAGGAAAGAGAGAGGTTATTATTAAAGAGTATAATTGCCCATCCTCCTATTGTTTTTCACATGTTTTTTAGTTTCAGATCATATTATTCAACGGTGAAATACAATTCTTCATTCAAGACTTCACTGAAGAGGATGAAATACACATATTTGTAACAGGTTTGTATTGATGGAGTTGAAATGATAAGCCACTCAGCGACACTGTAAGTTGCAGTATTTTTGTGCGACGTGGCTCTTTACCTAATAGTTTACTTTATTTTTTCTTGAATCCAATTTTTATATGTCTGCAGTCAAACTCTTTTTACTGGCTTTTTGTGTGTGTTGTGTAGAGTTTTGCTATTTCCCCTGCCACAATCTCTTTATTTTAATTTACCAAATAAACGACTATTGAATATCACACCCGCAGCGTGTTTTATGCGATTTTTTTTTTTTTTTTGTTTTTTTTTTTCTTTTTTTTTTTTAATATATTGCTCATAAAATACAGGACTCTGTTTTATGTTAGTAACATTAGGATACTCTCAGTCCACGCTTTTATGCTGATATGATATTGTTTTAGAAGAAATTTGGTAAACCATCTGCTTGTCATTAATGAGAGACTTAAGAAGACGATACAAATTAAATCCATTAATCCACCATCGGTTTAAAAGGTGCAGTCCTGAATTATCACAGAATTTTTAAGAAACATGGAGACTAACACAATTGTCATACAGACAAAAGTCCCACTGTTTCCAGTAATAACTCCTGTTTATTAGAGCATCCATTATGTTTTGAGCCCCAGCTATCTTTTATTTTCCCCAGACTTGACGGATATTGACTGTTTTTATCATTTTTTTTGTGCAGTCTACCAAACGTTGCTGTAAATCATTTAAATATTTTGTAGGCCTTTTGCCTCTATGGGTTTAATGTGGAAACGTTCTATTTCAAAATGTAATATTTGTGAAGCACTATACTTCTGATGTGATCTGAGTTGTGTCATTCCTGCAGGTGTGAGATGCAGTTTGAGATTAAAAAGAAAAAAAAAATATGTCAGTAAATGTCACTCTGAATTTGTTGGCGTGGAGAAGGAATTTGCCAACCAAAGGTTTTTTGGAGAACTAATGTTTTAAGAGTTTACCAAGAGTATATAAATCCCGGATTAGGCTACATAGCATTGCAGCATGGATGGAGATCGGCAGACTTAATTGTACAAGATGAGATGAAGGAGTAGAATGTTGTGCGCACCGAACCAATCAAATCCTACCTCTTGACATCACTCAGCATTTTATTTTTTTTAAATGTCTTTGTTATTGTAAAATCATCCGACTGAAGAATATTTCTCATGGCCATTAGATCAAATTAATGTTTTCTTTTAAATGTGTGTTCATCTGTTTTAAATAAAATGCCTATTCGTTCAAATACATTTTCAATTGGTTAAACATTTCAAATTGATTTCAATTTTTTTTTTTAGGTGTGGTTTATTTTGTTGGGATCATTTCTGCACTATAGATCTTCAGATAATTGCTGGATCTTTGGGATAGCCTGATCGACGCGTCGATCTGCTGAACCGGTGTGTGGGCTCAAACACACCCTGTACTCATCAGGCGTTCGTTGATTTTTGTTTCATCTGCATCAGATCCTCTACTCTCTACATGATTACAAAATATATAAAATTCACAATTGTTCTTTTTGTTTGGGTTATTTAGCCGAAATCAATTGTGTCAAAATAAAGTCTAGCCTATGTGGATTAAAATACGTATACATTCTATACGAATTCTAAATATTATAATTTTGTTATGTTATTTAGTTTTTCCGCCCTGCAAATTATTGTTAACCACACATTAACATTTAAACAACATACGGAATTTAAATATTTGGAATTAATATAACGGAAACAGTTTTTAATTGTCTATAAAAAAGCGAAGCTTTAAATCATGAGGATATTATGCATTACACGTGAGAGTGAGGAGATCACTTTACACCACTGGAATGGATTAAATTATGTTTCAGACGATTCAATTTCATTAATTTCACTTATTTTCTTGTGTATTTTGAGGCTTGAATGTAGGGTACAACCCAACATATATGTGGAAACACTGCGTATAAAAAGGTCTATTTATGTACCCGAGTGTATACGTTAATCATTGCCTTAGTTTTAGTTGTATATTTCTAGTAGCAAATAAATGGCAATTACATAAATAACTATAATTTACATCGGGATTTTTTTGTGTGTCTGGCAGCAGCTTTATGCCTGAGATATCAAACACCAGCAGTTTGAGTGAGTTTCTGTCAGAACTTCTTCCAAAGTGTGTCCACCCTTCTCACGCATATGAAACTCTCTCTTCACCCTCCCCCTTCTTTAACTATAAGGCAGGCTAGTGAGCCGCACAAACTTTCACTGCCCCTCTGCAGAGACACTCTGGTTCTCTGCGCACCCGTCGACTTTTGCAGCCCTGCAGTCTCCCCTGCACCTATGAAGCCTTGGAGTAAAAGCTGCCAGCCCCTCAATTTGATTCACTTCCTGTAGTCAGACTCCTTCCCAAAAGTGGAGAGAGGGGGAAACGGGGTGGAAAGGAAGAACTCTTTCGGTTCTAAATAAAGCTCTCGGCGGAGCAGCAAGCAACTCCTCGCCTCTGCTAAGCTTCATAACTTCTGTAGTTTGTGTCAATAGCAGTCAGATCGTCGCGCACAGCAGCGTTTTAAAAGAGAAAGAGAGCATTTTGCGTTAAAAAACAAAGCTGTGCGCCAGTTACACACTGAATCCATGCATGGTACGGATGGTACAAGTTTTGACGCCCATCGCCGAGTCTTCTGATTCCACGCACCGAGTTTGGAGACACTGAACGCTGTGAGACTCCAGGGGTTCATGTACTGGAAAAATGAAGTTTTGTCCCCTCTTTCAGAGGGAAATAATATTCTGTCCGAAGGAATTCCCACGAAGAAGGTACTAACACTTTGGAAACAGCTGAGCTTCAACTTTGTGCGTAAAAGGTTCAAATTGGAGACGTACCCCACTTATGCACCGCGTGGGCCTTCAATGTTTGGTTTATACGGAATTAATTTAATTTGTGATGACGTACAGCAAGCGATCTGTACAACGGTGCAATACGTAGCCTCAATTTGAAATCATTTTGATGTACCAAACTGTTTATCTTCTTTCATGAGCGCTCAGAGGATCTATCTGCTGTTGCAAAGAGACAGAAGAAACTTGCCGTTTATTTGCATCCTGTGTGCGTTTTGTTTTTTCTCTCTGTGATGTCACAAGAATCACTGCTTGTGTACTGAGATCAGCTGCACGCGCCAGCCGCTGTGAAGAGGCACGCGCCTCTCTGTTATGAATAGCGTGATTTGCGGTCCGCGAGCCTCTCGAGTGCTGCCAGTTCGCCCGAGAAGAATTAGATTTTAATTACAGCCATTAAAAATCAAATTTGCAATTCTTTGGGTGACCCGTTGCCTTTCTCTGATTGACAGTTGAAATTGACACTCCGGGTCCCTCTTATCCGTATAGCGGTTCAAGCTATTTGTAATTACAGGTAGTTTTTTCCCCCCTCCACTCTCGTGTCCTGGATTGCGAAGAAAATACTATTATTCCGAGGCGCGGGTTAAGGGCAGGGAAAAATCAATCCAAATTGAAATAGCTTCATTAAAATGTGCCTTTTGTTGCGGGGGCCCTTTTAGCGGTTTTAACCACTTTATATAGGAGTAGCCTTGAAGAGCTGCCTGCAAATGTCTCCCGGGGGATTTCTCAGCTGAGCACGAGACGGGGAAAGTGATGAGGACTTGCCGTTTACTGAGCGTTGTCTTATAGGTGATCTCCACCGAGCCTCAGAGTACACCGGGAGCCTCGCGCTGCAGTGTGGACTCTAAACACGCGCCAATGGTGAGAGCTTTATTGCCAATGTACACTGCTTTTAATGTCGGAATCATTTAGTGCGTCTGTTGCATCTGTGTGGGCTGCTCACACGTGTGAATTTTGCGCGCAGTGATGTAGACCACATCATGGAACTGGCACATGTGGGGATTATTCTGTGTGTGTGTGTGTGTGTGTGTGTGTGTGGTTCACTGAGCTGTGCTGATGCCCTTTTGCAGTCTCACTCGGACGGAGAATCCCAGCGGTCCAACATGGAGCGGGAGGACACTCAATCGTCCCCCAGCACCCCGTCCAGCCCCTCTGTGTGCTCGCCGATCTCCACCACCAGCTCGGTGCCGTCCACCGGGAAGAACGTGTGCGCCAGCTGCGGTCAGGATATCGTAGACAGATACTTGCTGAAGGTGAGAAGCCGATTATAAACCGTAAAACAGGCTGGAACTGCCCGTCTGGTCAGAGCAGGGACTATTTTCTTCTGGGGTGTCTTGTTTATTTGTTTAGCTTTTTTTTTACACTGGCATTCACATTAACAGCAAATTACTTGTCTATACAAGACGCACAGGAGCGAGTGAAGGAGGGTGCCATGTTGACTCGGGTCCTGTTTTGGGTTTTGGACAGGCCTGCTGTGTTACGCTGATGCACCGGAATGAACAGAAGGCCTGGACAACTTTAGGGGTCCTTATTGTATAATTTGCACTGAATAAAAACCAGGCACAGTTAAATAATAAGAATAATAAATATCACCCATAATTTTAGATATCGACCAGATGTGTAACTGGCAAACAGAAATACCTTGTTATAAATAATTTTATAATTATGTTTCAGTTGTAAAATAAACGTACACAATACATAAACCCTTTGGCTTGATGCAAAACCTGTCTCTAAATGAATGCCCTGTTATCTGCAACGTAATACGTTAGGCATCAAGATAAAGCGGAGATACAACAGGGATGTTTTGATTTTTTTTCTCTTTTACAGCTTCACTGTCAATGCGCCCTGACTTGTCGCGTGCGCCCGCTTGCTTATAACCAAAACAGACCTCCCTCGCGCGCAAATGGGTGTTTGTCAGGAAGTGCGAATTGACTTTTGTTGTGTCGAAGTCTCGTTCTATTATGATATCATCTCTAATAGGCTACTAGTTTCAAACGTTATACAAAAATACACGTTTTTTTCTGAAAAAAAACGAACTTAACTGTAAATAAATACATATAGCCTACAATTGATCATGAAACAACTCTTTTGTGCAGCATTTTATTTGGTCTACATACTCTCATGGTTTTTTTTTGGTTTTTATTTTGCCCTCCTTTTCTCATGTAAAATCTCATGCTTATATTTATTTATGCTATAGTTGCATATTTCACACTGACCGATGCTGTTAATAAATGTTTGAAGGTTAATACGTCATTTGTTATTGATTTAAAAAGTCCTAAAATGGTTATGATAAATTATGCCTTGTTAGATAAAATCACCTTTCATAAAAAAAAAAAAAATCTAAAATGAACATGATTGCATTTAGATTGGAATTTATCTGACAGCTTTTTGTAGGCTGCCGTAGGGCAGCCTTCATGACCTCTCTCGACAAAATAATTGGGCTAATTTTGGATAATACTTTGAATATTTTTGTTTTTGTTTAGGCAGCGAAATTGCTTTGCTATCTGTAAACCTTCAAAATTATTCCAATACATTTTCAGTCGTCATTACAAATTAGTCTGACAATTAATATTCATTTACTTTTTCCATTTTTATAAAATGATATCATAATTGCTGTTGATCGAAAATATTCAACTCTGTGCCAGAAAATGTTAGCTAAGGCCTCAGCAGAATGCTTTGGGTTTGATATTTCTTATTATTAAGAATGGATGCATTTCAGCAGCACATATTACTTCGGAAAAATGAACTACAGCCATTTCACAGGCTAATTATTTAATTTCTAAGCAAAACCCCAAGATCTTAGTATTACAAAAATACAGTGTTGATATCAGGAAACATATACAAGCAAGCATAATAGGGTCTCCATAAAGTGACAGTTTGGCACCACAGACACACTAAAACTCCCTACAATTGAGTATTAAAATGATACATGATAACATGCCAATACCACTATGAACTCATTATTCAACCTCACTGTGAGATATGCAATTGTTTTAGAAATAATTAGGTGATATTTTCAATGTAATAATATCTTGACGTATTACGAGGCTATGCGTCAATCGGCCTAATGAATTCATGTTGAAGGAAGTAAATGTTGTCATTTAGGATACTCAGCGCCATAGGCGCACTGGAAGGCATTAATGCAGTGATCTATCATCGGTTTGACATGGATGCTGTCTCTTTTACAGGTAAACAACCTGATTTGGCACGTGCGCTGTCTGGAGTGTTCTGTCTGCAGGACGTCGCTACGTCAGCACAGCAGCTGCTACATCAAAAACAAAGAGATCTTCTGTAAAATGGATTATTTCAGGTAGGGTAAGTTTATGACCGTGTTTTCAAAATACAACGTCTCCCCTGCAACACAGGTCTCTCCCCCCCCCCCCTCTCTCTCATGCACACACACA